ATCAACATATAATCAGCAGGAAGAATATATATGAATGAAAAAAAAAAAAGATCTATCTCTACACCTGAAGAGCTCTCTCCATTGAAACCATTTCTTTTTCCGTTTCAGTAAAACTTGTCAAGAAGCTTACCAACAAGGAAACAATTGGAGCTGCATATGAAAGAGCTAATCCTACCTGTAAAAGAAAATAGAACGCAGATTATCCATTTGATTCCCAAATATAAGGAAATATTAAAGAGCTCTAACCATTTCCTTTTACTCCTAAAATGAATAACCTAAAGTTCAACTTCAAAGAAATTCAGGAATATACCATAATACCAGTCCTGGGGTGCCAAAACTAATTGGTAAACTGCCATGGGATCCAATAACAGCCATCACAGCAATAAATGAGATTATGGATGCGGCTAATAACTGTAGAGAACCAAAAAAAGTACTAATTACAGTTATAACTTCAAAGTATAACTTTCACTGCGTAAAGTTTTGTAATATCTAGCTAACTCTTGGACACATGCCAACATACCTGAAGGTGCAGGGAAAGCCACAAACTCGTGATTAACTCTGAATATGAAGTTCTCTGATACAGTTCTAAAAACTCAGTGAATCTAGCCAAGAAATAATCATGTTTAGACCAAGTCGAAACCATCAATAAGGTTCTTTTCCTCTAAAATTATATCAGTCTCTCTACGCAGATTCCATTCATAAATAGCAGAATAATTATGAGCTCTGTAGATTCTTTTTAAACAAAATATAATGTTTACATTTGCATTTTATCTTTCACAATTTCAACATGGAAAATTCAGCCCATAAAACACTTCCAGGTATAGGGTGAGTAGCGTTCATTTTTAAGACAAGCACTCTTACAAAAAGTTCTGAAGAACTTAAAAGGTTACATAGACTCTCGTGTTATTTCGAACGGTTTTGTTTTACGCCTTTAACACACAAACATCTAAAAGAACTAATCAAAAGGGGTTATTAAGACCCAAAATCTACCTCTGAATTGAAAGCTCGTATAGTTGATGATCCATCAAGTGTCTCTGTGAAGGATGCATAAATTGGAGAACGTGATACACTGTCCAATCTTCGCAGTTCCCTAGATGTTGACCTGTAGAAGAACTACTGAAATTTTGACCGAGTAAGAATACTCAACTGAAATGCTGCAAACATAAAATAAGTTTCATTGTTAATCTTAATCAGGAGGATCCATTGAACTCTACCTTGTTTCAAAGTCGGTTTTTTTCTTTCTTTTTCCATTAGTCTTGTATAAATCATAATACATATACTGAGTTCTGGCACCAAGGGTATCACATCCACCTTAATACTTACAATTGTCCAATAATTTATATATCTTCAGCTCCATTTCTTCAGGTTACCAGCCATTTTGTTTCTTGAAATTGAAAATTTTATTTATTCCCCACCATTCTCATTTCAAACAAGTTTTCATTTAAGCATGTACTCATATAAACAGATAAACCTCCTTAAGCTCCGTAAGAAGTATAAGCGATAAATGTATTTCAAGGAATGGAAACGACAAAGTCCAGCAAATACCTGTAGCTTTCTATAGATTAATAGATGTTACCAAAATGGCAATAGTAGAAGCAAGAAAAAGACCTACGGCGTTCAAGTAAATCATTTCCATCAGAATTTCATCTCTAGTGTTATTTAATTATTGAAATCCGGAAGATCATAGAATCAAAGTATTGGATGTCCAAAGTACTTGAACATAAGATAAAACTACCGCTATTCCCAATAGGCCCTCAAAATTAGCCAGAAGAATGTTGAGGATGAATGGGAGAGAATCGTCAATTGTATAGAGATCTGATGAGAACCCATATGGCAAAAAAACGTAAGTTTTATATGTGCTAATTAATCATAAACTTTCACGATGTCCAATAAGGTATCTTATTCTAACCTGTTAAGTATTCGTCCACCTGGTGTTTGATCAAAGAACTGGACAGGAGTATTAAGAACCTTATTAAGCAGTGTATTATGCACCTGAACTGCAGCTTTTAGACCACCAAATGCAAACGAGAATGTCCTCGCCATGGTCAGAGAAGAATTAATGATGCAGAAGATGCAAAGTACCAGCTGCAACACCATTTAGTAACTAGATGTCTAGATCAGAAAAAAAAAGGATACATATCAATGATATCCTTCTCTCTATGTCCCCTCACACCCCTCTTCTCTCCTTTACAGTTGCTTCAAATTCTCCTAACGCAGCACTTATATAGCATGAGAATATCAGATCACTGGTAGTCAGACAAGAGGGATTCCGAAGCAATTAGATCCATAGAAGAATTTTAATCAAATATCAGAGCATGAAAAGATTTTGAGACTAGATTTTCTGATGTTTAAGCTATTGTCTTTTTCATATCAACTCAAATTGGTTTTAAGTTTCAAGAAATTTAAGTCAGGTTGCTGGAGTTCAAGATCAACATGTGTCACTTTTACTCTGCTAAGGGTGACAATTAGTGAAAGCTTGGATTGCATAAAGCTTTGTGATAAAATTAGAGTAATTGTCAATATCTTTGATGTAGAAAGGTTACAATTATATATACAAGTTGTAATCATAACTTTAGTAAACTCCTAAGCTAGGAAAGTAATTAATTCTAGGGAAAGATATAATCCTTAAAGTTAGGATTATAACTACTAAAAGATATTAAAAAAATCCCATCTAACTACACATGATCTTTCTAATTTAGGAATCTATTTTCTGACTCAAGCTGGGAAATGGATATCCTCCATCCTTAACTTGCTTACTAGCTTCTAAAAATACTTCCCAGGTAACCCTGGTAAGTATATCTGTAACTTGATCTTCAGTGGACATTAGGGAGTACAAATTAGGCCATTGTCAAGTTTCACCTTTATGAAATGTCTATCCGCTTCAACATGTTTCGTCATGTCATGTTGAACTGGATTATGAGCAATGTTGATTGTTGATTTATTATCACATTACAACTTCATTGGACCGTTCCATTTAATTTTCAAATCTTCCAAAATAATTCACAAATTTCAAGTGTCATCGCCCTAAATTCTACTTCTTCGTTGGATCTAGCCATTAGGCTTCCTTCCAAAACAGTATAACACTTTGAGGTTGATCTTCTATCAACGACCCTACATGGTCTGCATCTATATATGCTTTCAGAGTCAAACTTCTTCCTTTTTTTAAATAAAACTCCTCTACATGGTGTGCCCTTCAAATACTAAAATTTGAGTCAAACTTCCTCCCTTTTAAAGAGAGCAAGAATTGAAAGGAAATGGGGAAAGGGTGGTATGAAGAATATTAATTGCTTAGTTTGATGCATGTCACATGATAACAAATAAGAAGGATTAGACTTCAAACCCGAGCAACAGCAGATGCATAAACCATATATTTCTTTTAAAAAAAAGCATTTCCATTCCAAGAGGCATGAAATCATGAAAAATAGAAATTTCTCATTAGGCATGTTAAAAAGGAAATGAAAGGACAATAGTTGCAGCATTTACATCAAAACCTAAGACCGTAAACACGAACAAGGAAACCAAACTCAATAGAAACAATGTGTTTTACTTTTGTTTTAAGATGAAGCCTAAAAATAATTTAAATAAGAGAAGGATATTAGTCATCAAAACATTGCGAGAAGCCATTTCCGTCCCAAACCTGGAAAAAGAAAAAAAAAGAATGAACAAAGGAAAATATTAAAGTGATGACTTGTTTATCTTTTAAAGTTTAAACATGTAAACTATCAAAGATAGAAGGAAAATTCAAACTAAAATTGGAACAAAAGTACAGAAAGAAACTAATAGCTAAGAATTTTAAAATCCCGCCCCGTTTCCCGGCGAACAAACAGAGGCTTAACACCATGTATATAGTGCTTTAAAAAAACATGCGTCATTTATCGATTCCTGCTAAAATCCAAGAGAATATAGTCTCTCAGGAAACAAACAGAATTTAGAAGTTACGACCAACATTAAACAAAAATAAAGCTGAAACGCTCAGACCAAGCAAAATTAGTAAGCTGGCCCAAAAATAATAATAGTAATTCTTTTGACTTAATTTTGTTAGAGAAGAAAAATGAACTTACGAAAGGAGAATTAGGCACGTGCTGAAAAAATCACATCATTCATCTCATGACTTCAATCTCTCCATCCAAATAAAAAAATCTGTGTTGGTGTGAAAGAAAGAATAGTCTTCTTCTCAGCTCAGCTCAGCTGTCACGAACTCAACAAATTTACATTATATTTTTCTTCAGCTAATCGCTTACTGCATTCGGCTGTTTCCTCTCATCTTAGGCATCTATATTCTCGGGGTTTTTTCCCCATGTACATAGACACTAACATAATAGCAAATGATAATATAACTAAAATTTAAAATATTGGGCTGACAAGTGACAAATGTATTTACTCTAATATAATTTTTGTTTACTTATGTGGAATTTCATTAATCAGATTGAGATAATCAAATTATTCAAACAAAAGCTCTTCTTTATTAGATTGTCACTGATTCTCTCTGTCCACGCACAAAGATCCCAAGGAACCGGTGATATATACATTTGTTAGATTGTACTAATTCTTTTTAATAATTAATTTATTTTCTGAATAATATATTTTTAAATTAATATTATTCATTAATGTTAGTAAATATGGAATAAATATCTACAATTATTGCTCAACAGAAAATGATTAGAAGTGAATACTCCCTCTGTCCTATTAGAAGTTATTTTTAATTTTTAAAATAATTTCATTCAAAATGTCTAATTATAAAATTTAATAAAAACTAATATTTTTCTTTTTCTTTTCATTTTTATATGTCTATTTTTTTATACCTGTCAAAATAAATCAGTAATTCTATCAATTATTTCTTAAAGATAATTTTATTATTTCTTAAATTACCTCTTAAAATTATGTGCATCGTTAATATGAAACAATGAATGAAGTATGATTTATTAAGAAAATGATTTGAAAAGAGGTACACGTGGCTGAAGCTGGTTATCATATAATCTCATCCATTGTTGACAGAGGTTTCCATCGCGCCTCTCTTCTAGTTCTCGAGACTTTCAGCAAAACTAGCTCAGCAGCTACAATGGCCATGAATTTCATGGCCGTCTCTCTTTATTCACCTCGCTCGATCTGTCCACCTCGCCATTCCCTCGTTCCCCTTCACCTTGCTTCTTCCCATCGTTTAGCCACTTTCTCTGCCGGACCAAGAATTCCAATCCAATGCGCCACCAAAGACAACAAGGAAACAACCCCTCCCACTGCACCACCGACGCAAATCTTCGATCCCAAGAAAGGAGTGGCGCTTTACAAGCCTAAGTCATACGATGTTCTCGTAACCGATGCCGCTAACTCCCTCGCTTATGCTATTCAAGATGGCCAAACCCGTATCGAGATTGATTTCCCGTATGTTTTCTATCCTTCTCTTAATTTGAGAACTCTTTCCCATTTATTTGGGTATTATGAGGCTTGCAAAAGCTTTTTCTTGATTCCCATTCTCCCTTTAGTTATCCATAGCTATCCCAATTTTGCTGGCCTTGATATGGTTCAGTATGACAAGCTTTGCCTGTTTAAATTTGCGAAATCACCTGTTAATAGTACTTTGGCTGCTTCCCATATTTCCCTTTTAAATTCTATCTGCTTATGCTTCCTAATATTTAATGTAAACTTAGTCATGACGGATGGGAATAAATGACTTGATTTTTAGCAACAATTCTAATAAAATTGTTGTTTATTAATGTGAAATCATACATTTTATTCTTAAAAGAAATATAATATTTTCATGTGAAACTTTTGGGTGGTGTGTATTATAGGCATTAAGTTATTAGCCACTAGGCAGTAGTTGATTATACTTCCACGTGAGTAAATATTTTTCTCTGGACACTTAGCTGTTAGAACTTACTGGTGTGAAATTGTATGAGGAGTCTTCAGTCTTCTCATAATTTCATAATTCTCATACATGCTTCTTCAGCTCATCCATTTTGGTTAAGCATTTCAGTTGATTGTCTATTTACTTTTTTTCCTTCTAATATTTGGTCCTTTTTTGTGTATGGATTTTCTGCCTTTACAGGCCCTTACCGAGCAATATTTCTTCTTATAAGGTACCTCTTTCGTTTCTTCACTTCTCAAATGGGTTGAATGACCCTTCATTGATTTTCTTGCTCATTTAAATATTTACTGCAATTTATTTTTAAAACTTTTTGTATCTTGTTTTTGCTTCTAATCTGTCCATTTGTTTTAGTAATAGAAATGAGAAACCTAAATCCGGTACTGTTGCCTCTGCTCTAGGTGTAGTATTTTAATAAATCATAATTACTGTATTATAATATTGATATTCAAGGTGAATTGTTATAGTACATAATTTTCTCTGATGTATAAATATATGAAGGGATCTTCAGATGATTTCATCGATGCCAACATTCAACTTGCCTTGGCTGTTGTCAGGAAACTCCAACAGAAAGTGGAAACTCGAGCTTGCATAGTAAGATACTTTCACTTTGCTGAAAAATTGTTCCTTTCGTTTCAAAGATAACTATAATTTCTTACTTCTTGTTCAGGTGTTTCCTGATAAACCAGAAAAGCGCAGGGCCTCAGAGCTTTTCAAAGCAGCCCTTGACTCGGTAATAAAATGAATTACTCTAGATTACTTTCTATTTTTCTGTTCCACTCTGTGCAGGTGGATTCTTTCAATGGCAAGGGGTTTGTTGTTTTTCAGCCACTGAAGTACACATGGGGGTTACAGGGGTATCTCATTGGTCATTTGGCCTCGATATGCATTTTATTCCTTAGATGGTTTGAGGGTCTATAAATTCTGACACTTATATTTAAATATATAACCTGTCTATTCATGCAGTTATAGCTTTTATATAGGGGCAGTACGCTTTTAACCTTGTGCCTTAATTTCATGATCCTTTATTCATATGCATAGTTGCCTTTGGAGTTAAGGGATTGTAATTATTGATTCTTCCTTTCAGATTGATGGTATATCTATAGGCTCCCTTGACGATGTCCCTAGTGGAGCTGTCACCACATTCTTCAAATCTATCAAGAACACTCTGGATTTTGATTTTGAAGATGAAAATGAAGGTTTGTTCCTGAACATTGAGCTTTGAGTGGGAATTTTCCTTTCCATATATCAATGAATTGGGTTGTTAAATTCCTTCATTCATATCCTCTTAACTTGTTTCTACTTACACACGCCTTTGAACATTCTGCAATCTCTGCAATGCAGGTCGTTGGGAATCCAAGGAGCCACCGACTCTTTATATATTTATTAATTGTAGCACACGTGAACTTTCTGTTATAGAGAAGTATGTGGTATGATTCTTATACTTTTGTATGGCCTTTCACCCCTTTCACGAGCCTATTTATTTTGTGTTTATAGCTTGCTACGTGCTTGACCTTCAAATGGTGGCTTTTTGAAGTTATGCACTTCTGCTTTCTTGGTTCTGCAAATCTGATGAGTTTATATGCAGGAATAATCATGTCTGATCACTAATTATTTAAAACAGGAAATAACTTAAATAATCTTCACTGTAAGATATATTGAGTCAGTACATGATTAAAATTTAGTTTAGGCCCTAGGGGAATAACATATTGATGTCGTCTTAATTTCTTCCTGGTTGTGTGACTGTGCTTTGATTTTGCAGGAAAAGTATGCACCGTCCACCCCCACACTTCTATTCAATCTTGAACTTGACACTTTACGGTATAACTTTACTACATTTTCCCCTTTTAATGAGGATTCAATAAAGATCAGTGAATTTACTTTTTATTGGGGCTGCTTATGTTTGCAGTGCTGACTTGGGTCTTTTGGGGTTTCCTCCCAAAGATTTGCACTATCGATTTCTTTCACGATTCATCCCCGTCTTCTATATACGGATTAGGGAGTACTCCAAGGTAGTTGTTAAATACATTGTTTCGCTTCATTGAGTTTAATTTCTGATACAGTTCTAATGACCATTTTCTTCCCAACTGTTGTAAGACGGTAGCTGTTGCACCTTTTGTCGTGAACTACAGTGGAGCACTATTTCGCCAGTATCCTGGTGCGCAAGTAAACCTTGAAATTTTCCATTTAACTGCTCCATTTCTGTCCTATCATAGATTAAAAACGTTGTACAAATCAACTACGGCAACTTGGTGCTTGCAGATTTGCACCTGTCAAAATCTCTAAGCTTTTTTCTCACTGCTTTGTGAAAAACGAGCTTTTAACTTGCAGTCAGATTTGGGGTATAATGACGTGTGTTTACATATCTCCTTGTTTTAACTTAGAATATGTGCAGGACCTTGGCAGGTGATGCTAAAGCAATCGGATGGTTCTTATGCTTGTGTAGCTGAGAGTGCAACTCGTTTCACTCTGGGAGAGGTATTTGTCTCAACTCTTGGTCATTTTGTGTTGCATTCTTTGTGATGACATTTATTTTTCGGTTTTGTCTAGACCAAGGAAGAACTGCTGCGGGTCCTTGGATTGCAAGAGGAACAAGGAAGCCAACTAGAATTTCTTCGCAGAGGCTACAAGGTTTTTTTGTCTATTATATTTTTACATTACCTTGTATCATTTGAGATTCTTAAACTGAATGCTCATAGCAATATCCACTATGCCACCCTGAAAAAAGTTCCAACTTACTTTTGCCTTCCGGTTTTACATCTCTGGGCTAATGGGCCTTAATGTACCGTAGAACTTCAGTTGGTATTCTCGGAAACTAGGAACACATTTTGTATCAGATAAAAAGTATACATATTTTGGCAACGTAGTGTGTGTGTGTGTATATATATATATATATATATATATGTTATGTAGCAGAGATTTAAGTATCCTGAAAATCTAATTAGCTAACCAACTAATGAAGTCATCTAATATTGCAGACTTCCACTTGGTGGGAAGAGGATGTTGAATTGGAGGTATCTTCTGCATGGCGTAGTTGAGCAAACTGAATGTTAAATACAGCAAGATGTCTCGCATATAGATGGTGAAGTTTGATGATGCTCGGAACATTCTTTTCCTTATAGATTTCTTTTAAACCCTTTCGTTTAGATTCCCCTGTAATTAATCCCCTTCTTACAAATCAGAGTAAGCAACAAGAACTTGTTTGTTTCAGACTAGTGGAGAAGACAGTAAGAGGAAGTAAAGTGATATTCAAGGTTGTTCATATGATTTCCTGATAAACATCAGTCAAATATTCTTTTTTTTTTCGTTAACTTTTAATTTGGTAATTAAGCAACAGTTTATGCCATAATCTTGACCTGTTCTAGCAGTTGCCATGCAAGTTACTATTGTTTGAATCATAATAAACCATACAAATATGGAAATAGAATGAGTTCAATATAAATAAGATTGCGAATGGACAGATCTAATTTATTTATTTATTGTTTGAATTCGTTGGATCATGTGGATATAGCTCCACACAAAAGGAAGTTTGAAACTTGTTCAAGGTTAGTACTAGAAATAAAGTAAAAACGTCAGTGTCATGCTCAACTATAACTATAAATATACATGTGATCAATAGTATTACATCTAATTTTCAAACAAAATTAATGTCATTGTACAAACCCAAGACTTGTGTCTTGGATTTATGCTTTTACCATGTAAAATCCAGCAGATTTAACATTCAGATACCAACATTCGTAGCCCCTTTGCCTATTTTCAGGGTTGTGTGTGTGTTTTAAAAAAAGTTAGCAGACAAGTGTACGAGACGAGTTTACTAAAGTAAGATCGTTTCTGCAGTCGTAACAGATACCAAAACACCTTGAACTTGTTCCAGTGTGGAGGCAGAAATAGCTTGTTTGATTTTATGAGTCAAGATCGGAGAAATCAGGATCTTTTGGCTTCGAAACCTTGAGCAAGCTCTTTGAACTAGTCGTGCCTTTACCCTTTTGTCCACGAATGTTAGCTGCAAACCGTGATGAAATACAGTTGCACGAAGGCTGTGGGATTCTGCAGTGCTATCAGTTCGATCAATTAAGGCCTGCTGATCATCATAAATATAGTCTAGATCCTCCTCCTCTTCCTTACGTCGCAGTTCCTCTTCTTTCCTTTTCACATGCTTGCGCCATGCTGTTTGGATGAAACAGGCCGCACAAGTCTGCCATTGCTGTGAGTAGAACCGGAAAGTGTGCTGAACCTGCCTACTATGGACTCGAAACGAATTTCAGCTCTTCAGCTTCTAAAGAAAAAGCTTCCACCTCGCTTAAAGCTATGACTGTTCGAGTACATAATGGTAAGTTGGAACTAGCTTTGGGTCAAGCGCCCAAGTCAAGAGCTCCTCACCAAAAAAAGTCCCCCTCTTTCAGCAAACCTCTGTTGTAAAAACCACTCCTCCCACCATCTGTAGTCACACTTTCAAGGAGATCACGTATGACGAAAAGCATCTCGTTTACTGGATCCCCTTCACGGACTATGTAAGTGTATTCTGTGTATAGACTTGGTTTGAGTCGCTCACCGATTGCATCAAGTAACCTCTCATCCATATTGGCAAACAGAGGAACCTGCATACCGCAACAAGAGTTTCAAGAAACTCAAATCCAATCTCTAAGTTAACTCATAAGGTGCGGAGTCTACATGATGATGCGCAACTTTTGACAACATGTAATGTATGAAACGTTCACTAGGTCACCCACGGAAATTTAGCAGTTGCTTGATGGAGAGCAAAAAAGAAATGAGATCCTTACCCTTCGGAGCAGATTCAAACAGAGATGTCGCTTAATGTCCCTCCTCGGATCTTTTGGTAAACTCTGGACTAATTTCTCTTTGTCAACTCCACGAGTCTCCATCCATTTGTATTGATCATAACGCCGAACTCTGACCTTGAGATCCTCAGGAAGCGCACGATGATGCATCCATAACTCGGAGTCATGCCTTTTGATCCTCATTTCCTCAAGACGAACTGTAAGAGATTGAAGGTAGGTCTTGTCATAACTGGTTTTCGTCCGAGCACAAAATTTTACTTGGCGGGAAAATAATGTGGATAAAAAATAATTTTAATTTAAAAAATGTTTTGAGAGTCGCCATCGACCTTTTTGGGTTAGGTAGGTCGAATACCTAAAAATTATCCTTTAAAAGAGTTTTTAAGAAAACCTCAGTTAAAAGATAAATTGGTCTGCATTTAACCAAAAATTCATTCTTTTTATAAATAAAAAGGGATACGTGATCGGTTACGTTTGAGAAATGATTAGCACTCACACAATGTCCAAAATTAGTACATATCTATTATAAATTGTCTCTAATAATAGAATTTAAAAATTCAAATATGAATTTAATTTACAATAGTGTTATTTCAAATTTAATCTGATATTTCTAAAGAAAAAATATTAAATATATATATATATATATTTAGGGTTTTGTAAATAGGATATTTATTTATTTACAAATATCAGAAAATGACATTTAGTTGCTTTAAGACTGTCTTTTCTTTAATATTAATAAATAAATAAATATTAATAAGAATATAATAATTTTCTTAAAAAATAATGAATTAAATATATATATATATATATATATATAAGCATGATATTTATTTATTTTTAATATATCAAAATAAGACATATAGTTGCTTTAAGACTGTCCTTTCTTAACATTTTTGGAAAATAAATAAATATTAAAAATAATAAATTTCCTAAGAAAATAATTTAAATAAAAACAATATGTATTTCTGGTTTATATAAGTAGGATATTTATTTATTTTTAAAATATCATAATAGGACATCTAGTTGCTTTAAGACTGTCATTTTCTTTGATATTAAAAATAAATAAACATTATTATTTAATTAAATATATATTTATATGACTAAGATGAAAATAATAATAATAAAATAATAATAATTAAAGTAATAATTTAAACATATAGAAAGTAATAATAAAAACAAAACAAAATTGCAAATAAATAATTATCAAAATAAAAGAAATTAAAATTAATAATATTAAAATATAAAGTATTAAAATTAAAGATACTAATTCGAAATATTATGAAAGATAATGGTTAATAGTGTAATTTAACCTAATTAATTTATTCGGGATATAAATATGAATTAATAAAATTATGATGGACTAAAATGGGTATTTACCCTAAATATTTAAACATATATAAATTAGGGACTAAAATATAGTAAAATAAAATGCGAGAACAAAATTAAAATAATTAAAAGTATGAAACAAGTGACCAAAATGGAAGTTTATGAATTCTGAGTGGCTGCGGAGATGATTTTTCCAAAAGGGAAATTACAGAGACACTCCTCTCCCAAAACGGCGTCGTATGGGGAGGGTATTTAAACCCTTTTACCTGGCCCCTTAAGGGCCAAATCCCTCATTTTTCTTTTTTCTCTCTCTCCCCAATATGAGAGTTCTCTCATTTCTCTCTAAATTTCTGTCACAGGCGAGAGTCCGGCCACCGTCGGCCACCGTGCTTCGACGGCGATGGCCACCACCGGCCATCATTCATGGCCGAAATTTACAAACCGACCCCAAATTAAAGCCCCAATTACCCTAAACACAAATCCAAACTTATTTTCCCTAAAAACTCACTGAAACCGCTAGATCTAAACGTTTTACCTTCGAAAAACTTGATGACGATTGATTTTCTCGGTAAATTTCTTTCGGTATTCCACTATTTTTATTCTCTATGGTTGGTTGCCGTTGTTAATTGTGCTTGTTGTTGGTCTCTGTCTTGCTGTCGTCGTCTCTTCCTCCGTTCTTGCTCTTTGTTTTATTTTGTAGGGAAGGTGATGGCTTTATAGCCTCTACGGGTGATGGCCTCGGACCGGTCACAAGGGCTCTTTTTCGGTGAGTCACCAAACTATGGTGGTGACTCACCATAGCCTTCAACGTGGGCGGTTGGCGTGGTGCTTCTGGAGACTTCTAAGAGGTGTCGTGGCAGCAGCAACGTCGGCAGCAGCTGGTTAGACCACCTAGCAGTGGAAACGTCGGCAGCAGCGATTGGAAGCAGAGGTGGCACAGCATGGTCTTCTGGAAGCATCAGGAAACCCTACAAGGGTTAGGGTTTCTCAGGTCTAGTGGGTCTGGACCAAATCATTTGGGCCTTCGGGTTATTGGGTTGATTCTAGTTGGACCACTGGTTTGTAAATGGCCTGGAAATGTAAAAAATATTATTTAATAATAATAATTATCGTAACCGGTTTTCGTCCGGGCACGAATTTTTTTACTTGGCGGGAAAAGTGATGTGAATAAATGCTTTTTAAAATAATTTGGGAGTCGCCATCGGCCTTTTGGGTCAGGTAGGTCGAATACCTAAAAAAAATATCTTTTAAAAGAGTTTTTAAGAAAACATCAATTAAAAGATAAACTGATCTGCGTTTTAACCAAAAATTCATTCTTTTTAATAAAAAAAAGGGATTCGTGGTCGGTTACGTTTAGGGAAGGATTAGCACCCCTACAACGCCCAAAATTGGTACTTTTTAATTATAAATTGTCTCTATTATTAGAAATTTAAAAATTCAAAATATATTTAATTTATAATCCTATTATTTCAAAATTATAATTATGAGAAAAAAATAATTTATGTATATTTATAAATAAAATATTTATTTAGTTAGAAATATCAGAAAAGGACTTCTAGGTGCCTTAAGACAGCTCTTTTCTTTGATATTAAATATTAATATAATAATTTATATTATATTATATTTTTTATAATATTTAATTTTAAAATACCAGAATAGGACATCGAGTTGTATTAAGACTGCCCTTTTCTTCGATATTGAAAAATAAATAAATAAATATTAAAATAATTTATGTAAAAAAAAATATATATAAATTATTATTTATTATATATATATTTATATGACTATATAATAATAATAAAAATAATATATAAATAAGTAAAATTAAAACAATAAAAATACAATTAGAATTATATATTTAAAAGCAGTAAAAAAATGAAAATATTTAAAATTAGTGACTAAATTATAATAAAATTAAAATTAAATACCTAATTCATAATTATTTAAAATTATAAGGATTAAACATGCCATTTTCCTTATTTATTTAATTTAGTGACTAAAATAAAATTATATAAAATTCGAATATCAAATTAAAATAAATTAAAAATATATACTCAGGATTAAAATATTATTTATTAAAATTAAAGGATTAAATCAGTAATTTATCTAAAATATTTATAATTACGATTAAGGGCTAAAATATAAATAAATAAAATTTAGAG